AGACCATGTGAGTGTCTGGAAATGTTTTCTTTGCCTGAGAACAGAGTACATTGATGGTATCACGATTATGGACTTTACATTCTGTCTCATTCAATGAAATTCTAAAGTTGACTATGAAAACAGAAGTGAATGTATTTTGGGGTAAGAAATAACTTAAATTATTCATTTGTCCTCATTTATAACTTAGAAAGATCTCTACCGTCATTCATCAAAGCACCCTGATGAACCATGTGTTACATTTCAAAAATAAATGAATATTTTATTGAAGATAAATTAACGTGAAAGCAAAAACATGTCACCAAACCCATCAAGTACAATTCAGTAGAAAACAATTTCCTTTAATTCTTGGCCCACAAATGTTACATGAAAATGCAAAATGAAAAAAAAACTGCAACTTATGAATCGAGTTAAATGACTTTTACAGATCTAATGTGAAAAAATTCGAAATTGAGATTACTATCGGGCGAAACGTTTGCCATTGTTTTCATAATCAAATTGTGTTGAATTACGATTTCATTTCAGCAAAATCACAGAATGACGTAGTTTTGTCTCCACCCTCCTCATTATTCTTCATCGGACCCTCCCTATGTTGCTCCGGATTCTGCTGCTGCTGCTGCTCCTCCTCCTCCTCCTCCTCCTCGTCCTCCTCCTCGTCCTCCTCCCCCTCCTCACCATCGTCTCCTCTACCAGAAGGCTCTTCGGCTTCAGGTGTCTCGGGCCCACCACCAGTGCCAAAATTCTGAGTTAGTTTCATTTGTTCTGATTTGTCAATAAAATTGGTAAGTAGAAAAATTACGATGAAAAGCCAGCCGCAAATCGCTCTCATACTGCGAATCGTGGAAGACAAAATCTAAAATTTTACTTAAAAGTTATAGGAACAAAATATTCAAATACTGCAATAGTATAAAGCTTATATAAGTGCTCTCTAAATGGCCGTTTCCGCAAAGATGAAGATTGATTGGTAAAAAAAACTGCGTTAAATTTTATGGAGAAAATAAAATAAACCCGAAAATAAAAGAAGAAGTAATAATTAATTAACAATTTATTGAACAAAATTGTAATTAAATGAGTTTTAGGATTGAGAATGTTTTCCAACTATTGTTCAGTAATTAATAATTGGTGTGTCAATTATCACCCCTGTGCGTAATTAAGGAATAAAATGATTGCCGATTCAATGTCTGCTGTTGCATCCCCAAAATTTCTTCCGAAGAAGGCAAACTAAAGTAGGAACAAAACGTGATCGTAATTGCAACATTTGTGCCAATATATTTCTTGATTTTCTTTACTCATGTGTTTATGAGGTTGGGCAACCATATTTGTAAAGTAAATGTCATTCTGAAATGAATTTCAACGGAAGGAGCTAATTGGAAGCTCATCCGTTAGTTGGGTCATTGTCTTGCATTCATATCCACTACAGCTCGAAGTCAGCTAAAGGTCTTACGATAACTATCTAAACGCCTGCAATTTGATATAAATAAATATTTGAGAAGCCCATCCGTGTAGGGTTGAAATTTGAGGGGAGAGCCAAGTGGGTGTGCGATAGACTTACCTCCACGTGGTGCACCCTGGAAATATGCCTTCACTATCAACATCTTATTTGGAAGCGGAGGGGTGTGTGCGATAGACTTACCTCCACGTGGTGCACCCTGGACAGCGTGCGATAGACTTACCTCCACGTGGTGCACCCTGGGCAACTTTCAACCCTTGCTGGTTTTCTAAACAATTATTCTTAAGAATACGATAGACTTACCTCCACGTGGTGCACCCTGGACAACGTACTTTCAAATGGCAGGCGTTATGATAGGTATCATGGGGTGTGCAATAGACTTACCTCCACGTGGTGTTATTTAATGAATGGGGTGTGCGATAGACTTACCTCCACGTTGTGCGAAATAGCAATGTGGGGTGTGCGATAGACTTACCTCCACGTGGTACGCCCTGGGCAATGTATACTCATACGGCAAAAAAGTCTATTAAATGGCTTGGAAACGTGACCTCATACGGCAAAAAGTCTATAAACCGCTGGGCAACGTATACTCATACGGCAAAAAAGTCTATTAACTAGTGAGATGGGTGTGCGATAGACTTACCTCCACGTGGTGCACTATGGGCAACGTATACTCATACGGCAAAAAAGTCTATTAACCTGGGGCAACGTATATTCATACGGCAAAAAAGTCTATTGACTGAAAGTTGACTTCTCATTTCAAACAACCATCACCTCACTCTATGCCATATTCGAATATTTCATAGTACTCACCTCACCTTTGTTTTAACTTTGTG